TTTGCTATAAGCTTTTGTCACTAATGTCATATTGAGTGTTTTACATGCTAAAACAAACATATAATTATGAGGCACACCATAGTGAAGGGTTCTGGAAATTTTGACCATATGGTGTCCTTTTAATGTGCACTGACATTGCACGGCACATGGTCCTTGAGCATTTTGTTTACATTGAAATGTGACCAGTGCGGCCAGGATTAAACCCGCAATCTCCATTTCAGTGGCAGCCAAGAACAGTAGCCACTATACCACCAAGGTGGACTTGGGTTTTTGTCAGTGACAGTAGCACAATGAGCTTGGTGTTAGATCATGAAAAACCTTGAAAAGCACTAGCTTTGGTGCCCAAATTGACCTGTAAAACATTGATGACTCTGCCAGAAGACTTTGGGAAAAAACAGGCACAAGTGAAATTTGAGGAAAGGTTTCTAAAGTTTAGCCATTTTTAATATTTGAGTAACCATGGACCGCAATATACAAAGTATGGGCTACATTCGTATCAAGGTTTTTCTTTTTCATTAGGTGGCTTCAATGTTCGTCCTGTCAGTCTTTTAAATGCTTGCTGAAAAGCAGGTAAGTGAATATAACAGCAGCAAGGATGGCATGGCCTCGAAATGTGCTGAAACATGTCTGCACCCCTTCTCTCTTCGTGTCTTGCACAAGCTACAGCAGCAGCTCTTTCTGCAGTACATCATCATGAAGGCTGTACATCAATGTTGCAGTCTTTACTTTACAGTCTGAGAATATAGCGAAACAATGAATAGAACCCGTCACTCGATTATAATCTTGCCGTGCCTCCCTTCACTGCTACCTGCAGAGAACTTCCACAAGTGCATGCTCATCTTTCAGTAAACAAAACATATTTTCCCTCTGAGTTCTGTTTCATGAGGGTTTTATGGGTTCTGTTTCACAGTATTTTGATTTTCAAAATTACAAAAACAAGGTCCACTCACCAATGAACACAGCCCGCAGATTGCTGTCTCCTTGGAAGTACTAAGTACCTAAATAAATGAAACGACTGTGGTAAGATTTCAGAGACTGGCATGAAGCGAATAAGGTGCACTTCACATATTTGCACGCAATACCTGAATTTCGCACTACCCGCCATTGTCACAGAGTATTTGATACATGTATGCGAGGCTTCCACAACAGTCTTAACACAGAGCTCTTACAACAATCTCATCATGAGAGGAATTGGCAGGAAAAGCAAGTAAAAGGTTTCGTGTATTGGTGACAGGTATTCACACCATGTACACCCTATGGTAGTGCACGAAAGAGCACTGCAGCACACATGAGAAAGTTTTTTCTCAAGCTCTGACTGACAGCCAATCAAGTGGTTTACTGCACAGAAGGCACACAGAAGGGAACTTTGAAGAATGCACAAAAATACAGTGCTATGTTTAAGTAGAATCATAAGTCTCGCATTAAAACAACCTAAATATGCTTTATGCCACATTTATTATAGTGACTCCTAAGGAAAACAAGTGATGCATAATGAAAACTCCCATCAAGTATCAGTAAGACACAAAAGATTCTGAAAACCTATTACTGCTGACACTTTCTGACTGACAATTTACCTTCTACATCAAGCGAATTTAGAATCTAATGTCTTCAATTTACCATTTATTTTTATATTTTCTTTTATTAAACTACCAAAATGAGAATTAGAGACAAAATGGTAGCATTAAATGTTGGTGTGACCTCTTCAAGTGAAAGGGTTAGCTAGTATATAAAACTAATGCTGGAATATAAAATGCTTTTGCAGAAAGCTGCTACTATGGCACTTCAGATCTAAAGAAGCTTTAATATTTGTGCTAGCAATGTTGAGTCTACATGTGAATAACAAGTGAGGAAAATACATATCGAATATTATATGAAGGACGCACCTGTAGCCCAAGCAGGTATGTGAGCGTTTTCCCAGTGACAGGTATGCCGAGCACGTATGACTGGGTCACTCGTGGGATATCAAGCAGGTAGTTCACAAAGAGGGAAAACACCAATGCGTAGCTGTAAGAAATCAGACAGCATAAGTGGGTGACACGGGCGGACATACATCTTTAAGGGAGAGCAATAAAAGAAGCCCATAAAGCAATTACAGTACAGGTTCAGCACAAATGAAATTTGTTGCTATAGGCAATGTACAGTTAAGGTTTCCAGAGTGCCAGAATGCAGAGCCTAGCGGATAGATGAAGAAAAAAAAAAGCAGTAATGAGATGGGGTCGGTCAAAATTGAATGCGGTGCATGCACTGCATGAGTGGGCAGATTGTGGCCGTGCTACACTGGAGACGCCTGTGCACGTCTGTTTCTTAACATGCCCCTAACGGCTAATCTCGGTGAAATTGGGACAGGCCAGTGCAAGTGACACAGCCCCCTTTGGTCAGCGGACTGTGCCTGTGGAAACGAATAAACGAAGCAATCGCAACAGCTTTGCTTTGTCACCCATAGTAGGTACATGGGTAATATGCTTGAGTAAGGTGCCAGCACACTTTTTGTGAAGTACAGTTAAAGAGAACTTTAAACTTTCCTAAAGTTCAGGATTAGTGCTGGACATCTTTGGGCCATAGACAGTCAAATGTGTCTGACATTTGTTTTATGAATGTGTTACAGAGGGATCTTGTTGATACGATTCTGCATAGTAGGCTTTTTTTTTTTGCTTCCGGCAAACTTCTTTGGTTAGTATGAATTTTGCACATTGCGTCTCACTTTCTGGCTTTTGTGAAAAATGTATCAACCAGATACCACTGTAGTAATATTTTCAAAAATGGTTTGCTGAGAATACGGAGCAGTTTAAGTGGAATATACTATTCTAAATAATTATTAGGAAACCGTGCATGTTGGAAGGAGATGAGTAACTCTGTAACTATGCCAATTGAAATAAAAAAATTCTGAGCCTTTGTTTCTCAAAACTGCCCAGTGGGTTAGCTGTGGGTTTAAGTTCATTTCTACCACTCCATAAATGTTTAATTTTGCCTCCACTGAAATTCAGCCATCACAGCCTGAGCTACAAATGCTAATTTCTTCCCTGTTAGTGTACGGTGCTTCTAATCTAATGGGGAGCTGTATAAATTGAAATAAATCGTAGTGGCTGGAACACTTAATTAGAGGTCAAGTTCCCAGACGAAGCAGGAATATAGCTCTCTAGAAAATACTGCATCCGGCAAAACTTATGCTGCAGGATCAAAGCTGCAAGGGGGAGCTTGCTGATATAGCCTAATTGAATAACAATGGTAGCACAAGCAACAAGACGGAGCCACAATGCTAGTGCAAGGAAATGGGATGCAAGATGGCAACACGAGGACACACACACAGCGCTACACACTGTGTGTGTCTCCGTGCTACTACCATTGTTATTCACTTATGCCGAATGATATACATATGTAGAACCATCACAAACGTATGACAGCAAGTGTGGAGGAACATTGCTGACCGCTTCAGCATTGTCGATGTGGTGGAGCAATTCAAGGTCAACTTTAACTTTCATTAACTTTAAACAATACGGCTTATGCATGTTGCTAGTATTGGCTATGTCCCCCCCCCCCGGACATGTTATCATTTCGTACGATTTCTAGGTAGCAATGTTTACGATATCCATATTGCGCGAAACAGCCCAACGTTTCGAGAAATTCTGGTGGTTCATTTTTTCAGTTGATAGATTTCCTCCCCAAGTCTTTTTTTCTTTTTTTTTTTTCGTATGAACAAGGCTCCACAGCATCTACGAGGAACACCGATGGACAGCTGTGTACTTACGGTCCACTGGGAAACGGTGACAGAGGGACTTCGAAATGCCTCAGCATGTATATAGATGCAAGCTCTAAAAGCGTGGCAACCACCGATGCAGTCAAGAGGAAAGACTGGAACAACAGTGAGGACACCACGATTAAGTAACACATCGCGAACGAAACTGCTACTCAGTCTTACTTGCCACAGTACTTACCGCAAACTTTCGTGAGCCATAGCGCCGTTCAAATATCCGAAAATAGTAAATAAGAAGCGATCCGCACACCAAGTCTTTAGTGTCGAGAAAGCACACTTTCGACGTGACTAGCCTCCAAAACTAGAAGGCAACAGAAAGCAGAAACACCACCATTAGTACAACAGCAATACGCAGTCCTCAAAATGATGTCACTACGCAGTGACATAATCGCGATGTGCACTCTTGATGAAAAAACAATGACAGCTCACCTCTCCCCTGTCAACGATGTCAGAGATGTCGTACAGGACATAATGCCTAACCTGGGCAAGTATTGGTGTGTTGAGCGCGCACGATGTGAGGAATATGGAGCCTAGGAGCCCCTTGGACACCGGAGCCTTATCTGAAATCGATGGACGCACAGGAAATACACAGTGAATGCCAGCTGTAATGACGAATCTGTCACAAGCGCGCGCTAACCAGCAACGCGCTTAAAACAAAAGTAGGAGACGCCCCGAACTCGACATGGTACGGAACTTTGCGCAAACAGCAGGCGAAGGTCACTTACAGAATCCTGATGTACTGTACTGGGAAAGCATCGCGGCCATTCTTTTAATTTAATTAGTTAAATAAATAGCGCGAGTTACTCCACCAACCACCATTGTAATCACACTACACTAACGGGAACTTATCCTAGCGGCTCGTGAGAGAAACTGGCACCAAAACAAAAACCAATATATATCTGAGTAGGGCATGGAAAATTTGAAGTTTAAGAACAAGCATGATCAAACCATAATTATAATCAACTATTTTATACCTTTGCGACATACGCGTTAGTAAGTATTGACACCATTTGATGATCAAGTAGTTATTATACGATTAAAATACATTAAATATACTGCTCAGTTCAGGCATTCAAAACTAGTTTAAAAAATAAAACTGTACAGTGAGGTAGTTCATATATTTAACAAAGTTAAGTGGTTCTACCTTTCACGAATGATATTTTGTCTAACACAATATTGTGAAACCGAAAGCGAAAAGCGACTGCAGATCCGGAAGTTGTCCGTGCCCTTCTAAAATGGTTATCAACAAGCACGTTTCTCAACGCACATGTTCTGCACTGGATCTGCATCGTATCAACTCGTAGTGAGTTGACGCATTTCTGTGCTCATGGGGCCGTCTCGGTACTTCATAACGACACCAATATTTTACGTCAATTCAGGTGCGGAGAGTGACGCGTTTTTGATATCCACGGACTCTTAATGCTTGTTCCTAAACGGACAACAGTGACCGAGAGTTATACGTAGGTCGTGCCGGCTTTCTTCTCTCATTTTAGGGCCTCATCTTGGTCACCATCACACAGTCGTCTTGGCAGACGCGCTTCACAGGCTTCACAGGTTGATCAATCCTAAACAAGAAACGATATTCTCGACTGGCACCGACGAACACGGTTTAAAGGTAAGCGTGGCATGCAGGGAACCGAAACTGGAATGCCGCCTCAGAATCTAATTTTTTAAGACTTTCTCTTCCTGTATGCAAAAGTGGATTCTCACAATAAGTTATGCATTACACCTCTCCAGATTAGTTGCTTTCCTTAGCTAGGCACTCTATGCAGCCAGGCAGCGGAACCAGGGTTAAGCGGGTCGTCAAGGCGGTAATGCGGGCTTGATGGTTGCGAGAACTAGCAATCATTTTCGCAATGCAAATTATGAACACAGGTGCACAGGAAGGGACAGAAAAACAGGACGAGCATTCGACATCAACTGACTTTGCTGCAAAGAAACACACAACTTCGCATATATGTCGCCACTTTACATGCGCCAGATTGACACACGAATAAGCAAGTTTTTTTACTTTATTGGACACAGCAATAGAAAAGACACCGACACTTGCTTTTAAAAACGCTGGAGGGCAAAGTGGGTACAGTTTGTGTGAATAAACGAAAATATTGCATGACATTTTTCTGATTCTTTGTGTACGTTTTTTCATTATTGTAGGAAATTTAACCTTCTAGTTGAATTTTCCCGTGACTGCATGATGTGTTTCAAAACGACATTAAAAGCGCAGTATTGTGCACATTCAATCTTAGTAGAGTGATTTAGATGGTGCATAAATTTTTATAATGGCTTTCCTGCTCGTCATCACTCCACAGATTCAGCAGGCGGCATCAAGGGCAAAGCAAGATGTACTGACGTTCTGCAATGGAGTCTCGAAGCAGTTCAAGGTATACATGCGTGTTGTGGCACAACAATTTTCTTTGGTCGCTATCTTTTTAAGCTTGCTCACTTGTCATGATGCTTTACAGGATCTGTTCGACAATACAGGCATCACTTACACAGACTATGTTCGTACAACGGAGGATCGACATAAGAAATGTGTCAGACACTTTTGGGTATGCAAAAGTAAACCAGCACTAGGAGGTGCAGGAGTGCAATGTTGCTGAGGAATACTACTTGAAAGGCTTTTTTTTTATGTTCCTCAGAAAACGCTGCAGGATAAGGGGTGGATATACACAGGAATATACAAAGGATGGTATTCAACGCAAGATGAACTCTTTCTTTCGGAAGCGGAGGTGACAGAAGTAAAACTTGCCGATGGCACTTTACAGAAGGTGAGGAGCAGGTTTAGAAAATTACCGTGGCTTAATATTCAAGATAACCCTGTGGGGTCTTGATGATGTCTTGCTGTGCAGTACAGGATCAGATTTTCAAAGTTTTGGGGATGGTATGAGAGTTTGCAATTTTAAAGCATTGGGCAGCTGGATCGCTTCCTGTCTGTAGTATGTCAGTGTTTTCACACGTGTTGCTGACTGCGTTTGCTGTGTACAGATCAAAATGCGACCTGCACAGCCTTTTTAGTGCCTGTGCTCATTGTATTTTTATGCCCTCCAGGTACAATTGTATACATTGAAGAGGGGTAGGGGCCAAGCTAACAGATAAAATGGAAAATAACACAAATTTAAACCATAGATAAGAAATATGAAACACAAATATCAAACTTTAACAATTCATGCAAATGCAAACGGAAGTTAGCATTTAGAAGTTATAGTTAGTTATAGAAGTTAGCATGTAATGAATATGCAGGAAGTGTCCCAAAAACTATAAATATATAAATTACAACATGAAACTGTACTATGGCGATTCTTTGCTAGACCGCGTAGATGACCATTCATTTTTAGGCGTTAATTTTCAATCAAATTTAAGCTGGTCCCAACACATGAACAATGTAAGAATGAAGGTAGCGAAGTCGATTGGCATGTTGAACTGCTTACGCAACTTCTCAACAACCAAGCTAAAGCGGGAATTGTATTTTTCAATAATTCATTCACATTTTAGTTATTGTTTGTTAGTATGGGGAACAGGAATTAAGACCGATAATGAGAAACTTTTCACATTACAGAGAAAGGCAGTAAGACTACTTCATTAGGGATAGAATATAGACTCATCAGAGCTCATGTCAAAGTATCACGTTCCGCAATTTCACTTTATTTACAAGTTAAAAGTGTCTGTGTACATATAATATGAAGTATCGGGAGACTGGGGCTCATTTGGCCGTCACTACTTAAACAGGAACACCAGTCATGACCTTCGTAAAACATGCATAGTTCTTGAAAGAACGCGTACTGATTATGGTATGCAGGCAATTGATTACCAAGTCATGAAATTATGTAATGAGCACTCTGAAATGACTAGAATTGGCACGATCGTGCACCAACTCTAATAGTTTTAAATGAAAAACTCGGTCCTTCTTTGACATTTAGGATAAATTGATATTTTGTGCATGTTTGATTGGGCTGTAGTCTCCCACACGATGGGTAGATATGTGTGTGCATGTATGTATGTATATGTATGTGTGTGTGTATATTGCCACCATTGATGAACGAGCCGCTGTGGCTCATACCCGTTTTGGGCTACGAAGAAGAAGAGAACGTTTTGGTTGCTCTGGTTCGGGTGAACTCCTGGCTGCAGATCTTGTTTTTGCTCGCGACATTACTGGTGGAGGTGCTGGGTACGTGTACTTCGGCTGTGTCGGCCATCGTGGAGACAGCTACATCTCCCAGAGCAAGAAGCAGCCACCGCCTGCGTGGGTTACCCCCTGAATTTGGTCCCTTGACATCGACACCCAGAAAGATGGCAACTTCGATGACAAGCCAGGCGGTCCAAACCAGCGATGCCCATGGTTCTCTTCTCGCCCATGTTTTTCATGCGCCACAGACACCAAAGCCGTTCCATGGAGATATCTTCGAGGATGTTGATGACTGGCTCGACCACTTTGATCGGGTTGCCTGTATCAACGAATGGGACGATGTTCGCAAGCTGCGCAGAGTTTACTTTTACTTGGAGGATTCTGCGAAGACATGGTACGAGAACCACGAGGGCTCCTTTGCAACCTGGCAAGAGTTTAGCCGTCAGCTCCGTGACGCCTTTCGGAACACCAAGAGGAAGGAGAGGGCCGAACAAGCCATATCCTGCAGAAACCAGCGGCCGAACGAACGAGTATCCATGTTTGTCGAGGACATGGTTCGGCTCTTCAAGCGCGCGGACCCCGCCATGCCCGAGGAAAAGAAGGTGAGGCATTTGATGCGTGGAGTAAAAGAACAGCTTTTCGCTGGGCTCGTGCGCAATCCACCAACGACAGTCGCCCAGTTCATCAGTCAGGCGAACACAATGGAACGTACGCTGCAGCAGCGGTCATCACATTACGAACGCCAGATCCCGGCCACCGCATGCTCTACCGGCTCTGACAGCGAGAGACAGGCCCTCGCAGACTTCATTCGAAGTATTGTTCGGGACGAACTGCGACAGCTTCAGGCGGTGGGATCCCATCAACCTGTGTCTGCCCTCGCGGATGTAATCAGACAAGAAGTCCGGCAGGCCGTCACACCCCTGACCCCAATCACACCACCGATTCCCGAGGCGCCAGTCTCGACATACGCAGCGGCATTGCGATCCCCTGCGCCACCGGCTACAGATCCTGCTATGTGGCCCAGGTACCAGGCTATGCAGTCATTCCACACCACTGCTTCGAGCCTGCCTCATGGCTCAAGGTTCCCGAGCACACCCACCTATCTGCAGTCTACCTCAAGACAAAGTGGTAGCAAGGCAAGCACGTGGCGCAACTCGGATAACAGTCCGCTCTGCTATCACTGCGGCGAAGCGGGTCACGTATACAGGAACTGTCAATACCGGCAACTAGGTCTCCGCGGCTTCCATCCTGAAGCTCGATGCCCGCGCTACGGTGAGCGCCCCCGCGAAATCGAAGCCTATCTCACGGGCCAGCGAACACCTTCGACTGTTCAGCACCACCAGTCGAGATCACCGTCGTCTCGCCGGTCTACGTCACCCAGTTTGCCCACATCGTCTTCCGCTCCTTTCAGGAGCCGGTCACCAAGTCCCCGCAGGGGAAACTAGGAACGGCGACTTCTGGGGGTGAAGTCGCGGCCCGGCAAACTGTAAAAGACCCTCATTCGAACGACCAGACAAGGACCATTCCGGTTCTGCAGTGTTCTCTGACAGCAGAAAGATCGTTTCTGCCGAAATCGCCGTCTTCGTCGACAATCATGCTGTCAACGCCCTCGTCGACACCGGGGCCGACTATTCCGTAATGAGCGCCGCACTGGCATCTGAACTGAGGAAGGTTACCACACCATGGCAAGGACCGCAGTTGCGCACGGCAGGGGGCCATCTGGTGATGCCTACCGGTATGTGCACGGCACGCATTCGTATACGTACGTCGACATTTGCAGGCTCTTTCCTCGTATTGCGCGTGTGCTCTCGGCCAGTCATTCTAGAAATGGACTTCCTTCGTGAATACGGCGCCGTCATCGACCTCCGTGAATTACTTGTGTCGTTCGAGGATCCTTTTTGCGCTGCAACTGAGAGTACACAATTCCGGAAAAGAGCACTTCGTGTTACCGACGATTCTCTGACTCTCCCACCTCGAAGCAGCCTCTTTGTCGAAGTAGAATTGGGACAGGACATGTCTGACGCGGTAATTGCAGAGGCCAATTTGTCTCTCCTTATTTCACGACAAATCTGTGTTGCCCGAGGAATCATTCAGCCTAGCAATAGGCATGTTCACCTGCTGGTCACGAACTTCAGCGACGAATATCGCCACCTAACGAGACACACTGCCATTGCATATCGTGAAGAACTTGCCGATGCCGATGGTTCGCCCACGTTAGCTTTATTTTCATCGAATGGCCACCCTGACGAGGCGTTCACGAGCACTCTCGACGTAAACGAGAGACTACCTTCGTCTCAACGAGAAAGCCTTTTGCGTTTACTCGGCTCATTTCAAGACTGCTTTGCCACTACGTCAAGGGTTAAACAGACACCACTTGCTGAGCACCGTATCATCACGGAACCCACCGAGAGACCCATCCGACAACACGCCTATAGGGTGTCGCAAAAAGAGCAAGACGCTATACGTGACCAAGTCCAGCAGATGCTTCAGGACGACGTCATCCAGCCATCAACCAGTCCCTGGGCTTCGCCAGTTGTGCTAGTAAAGAAGAAGGACGGTACGTTCCGTTTTTGCGTTGATTACCGTAAACTGAACAAGGTTACCAAAAAGGACGTTTATCCTCTACCCCGGATAGATGACTCGTTGGACCGTATACGCAACGCTAAATATTTTTCTTCCATGGATTTACGTAGCGGCTACTGGCAAATCGCAGTGGATGAGCGCGACCGCGAAAAAACGGCGTTTATTACTCTTGACGGCCTGTACGAGTTTAAAGTGTTGCCTTTCGGTCTATGCTCAGCGCCAGCTACTTTCCAAAGAATGATGGATACGGTTCTCACAGGGCTCAAATGGCAATCATGTCTTGTTTACCTTGATGACGTCGTGGTCTTTGCAGACACGTTTGAACAACACGTCCAACGCCTTCAGGCAGTACTTCAGGCAATCAGAACAGCGGGGCTTTCTCTCAAACCCGAGAAATGTCATTTTGGATATGAAGAACTGAAGTTCCTTGGTCACGTTGTGAGCCATGTCGGCATCCGCCCAGACCCGGAGAAAACCCGTGCTGTTGCCGCCTTTCCCGTGCCCACAAATAAGCGCGACCTACGCCGATTTCTGGGGCTCTGTGCGTATTACAGGCGCTTTGTCAAAAACTTTTCGAAGATTGCTGAACCCCTCAACAAGCTTACAAAAGACGGTGTCTCGTTTGTATGGGGTCCCGATCAGTGTCATGCGTTCGACACGCTCCGAAACCTCCTCCAGGCTCCGCCTGTACTGGGTCATTTTGACGAAAGCGCTGACACGGAATTACACACTGACGCCAGCAACGTTGGACTAGGAGCGATATTAGTTCAGTGGAATAATGGCGTAGAGCGCGTGATCGCTTATGCGAGCAGAACGTTATCCCCAGCGGAAAAAAACTATTCTGCAACCGAGAAGGAATGCCTCGCTGTTGTCTGGGCCATAACAAAGTTCCGCCCATACTTGTATGGCCGCCCATTCAGGGTAGTTAGCGACCACCATTCCCTTTGTTGGCTCGCAAATCTCAAAGATCCCTCAGGTCGTCTAGCACGATGGAGCCTTCGGCTACAAGATTTCGATGTCACCATCGTCCATAAATCTGGGCGGAAACACACCGACGCCGAC